GGATTACTGGTGTGCACTACCACTCCTGGAGAAAAGTAGGTTTTGAAAGAATACAACCTTCTCATAGATCTCAAATCGTGCCTATGAAAGACTAAGAACAGAAGTCATGCAACAGCAATGGCATGAAAAGTCTGATAGTTGTCAGTTAGGCATCCTTAGGTCAACAGAACCACAAAGAGCCAGGAAGACAAAGTGAGGGGTGGCTCTGAGAAGATAGGGAGGAGATTTGGAAACGACACATGTTTTCTTCTTTGCCCTCACACACTGGGGGCAACCGTGTTTATGAGGCAGGAAAGACCCTGTGAACCACCCCACTTCCCGTTCAGAAGAGCCTTAGCAAGGCTAGCGGTACTCTCCTGGTATCTGCACAGAATGACACAACTTCCAATCCCAGGAAATATGCCCCTAACAGGTCCTGGCCTTCCTCATGAGCAGTGTTGTTTTTAACAGCTGCATTCCTGACAAAAGAGTCAGAAAGTGAATCAGAGCTTTGACCGGCAAAATGCCATCAACACAAAGACACACCATACCCTTGGAAAACTTTTAAAAATGGGGAGGGCTAGGGTGTAGCTCAGTGATAGAATGCTTATCTCACATGTGAGGGTCCTAAGTCCTGTCCCAAGCACCATACATGCACACAGAAAACAACAAAAAGCCCATCCAAGTAAGAAAAAGAAAGTTAAAAACAGGGAGCAAGGCTTCATTACAGAAACAGCACCAGTGAAGAGGCACAGGGCAACCAAGATTTACAAAGTAAATACCACACTTTTAATATTAACTTCCTTAGTTTTTCTAGAATTTATTTCCAAATCTTTTCATTATTTTATTTATATTACTGTACGTGGACACAGAGTCGTAAGCAGTTCTGCTCCATCTGTTACAAAGAATAAAGCAAGTTCACTGTCTCCTTCCCTCATCCTTTTCCCATGCACTAATGCTATCTTTTTTTTTTTTTTTTTTTTTGTCTTTTTTGAGACAGGGTCTCACTATGCAGTTCAGGCCAGCCTTGAGCTCACTTTGTAGCCCAGGCTGGTCTCGAACTCGCAATGATCCTCCCACCTCAGCCTCCCGAGTGCTGGGATTAGAGGCGTGAGCCACCACGCAGGCTGCACTAATGCTATCTTTTGAATCTTAAATAAAATTAGGCCAGACGTGGTAGCGCATGCCTATAATCCCAGCATTCAGGAGGCTGAGGCAGGAGGATCACTAAGAGTTCAAGGCCAGCCTGGGCTAGTGTTGGTCCACTTACAGGGCCCAAGGGAGATTTTTAAGGATAAGGATAAGGATAATTTTTATGCAAGTTGTTATCACCTGTTTATATTCTTACATGCTGGCCTCAATGGTGCACGCATAGTTATCCAGTGCTAAGTCATGGGTATATATACATTCTGTGCCTGTGCTGATAATGGGGTCGTGTTGTCAGGGCTGTCCAGAAGCATCCTTACATGCCCAGAGCTTTGCCTGTCTGCACGGTTCCCCATGGCTACCTCATGAGTTCAAGGCCTGCCTGAACTACAAAGTAACACCATTTGAAATTTAAAAAATCATTAAAAATGAGGGTATCTGTGTGCTGGGGATTGTGTGCCAAGCACACACTCTTACCACTGAGCTATACTCTTAGCCCACTTATTTTTTGGCTGATATATAAGAACATCTGGCATACCATGTGATGGTTTAATACATGTATAAATTGTATAATACTTAAATTAGGGCAAAATTAGCTATCTCCTCAAACATGTATCATTTCTTAGTATTTTTACACTTATCATCTGTGGATGGTGAAAAGTCAAACTCCTTTCTTCTAGTTTTGTGAAATATATAACTGTTATCCATAGTCACCCTACCACGCAATAACTCACTAGTACTTATTGCTCCCGACTCTAACTCAGAACTCACTGATCAAGCTCTGTCTGTTCCCCACACCTGTGTGCTAATGCCATTTTAAAAGTCCTTTTCCTAGACAAGCATAGTGATACATGCTTGTGATCCCAGCACTCAGGAGGCTGAGGCAGGAGGATTGCTGTGAGGTTGAGGCCAGCCTGGGCTACATGGAGAGACCACATCTCTAAATAAATCAAACAACCAATTCCCCAAACAAAACAAAAATTCCTTTCCTAGCAGACACAGTAATGCATGCCTATAGTCCCAGCTGCTGGGGAGGCTGACGTAGGATGGTGATTTGAAGGCTAGCCTCAGTAACATAGCAAGAGCTTGTTTGAAAAAAATCTACTTTCTCTTGTCTTCCTGGAGTTTCAGTAGAAAGTAATGCATGTATTCAGATACCACTGTTACCTAAAGTTCATTTTCCCCTAAGTTACAAAAGATATGTTAGATAAATCAATTATTTTTAAATACCATCTTGCCATGTAGATTAGGTTGGCCTCGAATTTGTAATCCTCCTGCATCAGCTTCCAGAGTGCTGGGATTACAGATGTGCACCACCACCCCAGGCTTGACTATAAGCATTTTGGTGAAGACTATTTCTCAGACTAGGAGAGGGCAGGGAGAGGAATCACTCCCTTGATTATTCTTTTGCTTTCTGGAGTCAGCAACAAAGCCCTGTACTTGATTAAAAAGATAAAGGCAACTTACACAGGCTTGCTAAGTGAACCAAATGTGAAGTGAAATGTTTGCTTTTCAAAAACAAACTTTTCTTCCAAACAGAAATCTCCTTGGCCATCGTTTCCTAAACATAAAAAGTCTGCTCTTCTGCTGCATCTGGGGTTTGACCTCATTGTACTCAGTACAGCACTGTATGCCAGATACTCAATAACTTGGAACTTGAAGACAGAAAGGAATGGGCCAGTGATACAGCTCGGTGGCAGACACAACTGCCTGAAAAATAAAATCAATGAAGAGAAAAGGACACATCAGACAGGAGGTATTCAGGGTGAAAATCAAAACCTTAAGCAAGTTTCTTTCAACTAATGGTAAACAAGACCATTACTTCAGATATTTACTTTTAATGAAAATTGAGACTTGAAAAGAGCTTAGTCCCACAAATACATTCTGAATTCTTTCAGAACATGTCTGCATTACAGTGGGTAAGAATATTAAACTCAAAAGGGAAAACTTTATCCGGGAGTGGTGGCACATGCCTATAATCCCAGTGCTCAAAAGGCTGAGAGGCAGGAGGATCACTAAATTCGAGGCCAGCCTGGGCTACCTAATGAGTTCAAGGCCATTTTGAACTACATAGTGAGATCCTGTCTCAAAAAAAAAAACACAGACTTTTTTGGTCACAGTAAATCATTCAGTTTACACAACAAGCATAAATAACATTAGTCACAAATAAAGTATTTTCTAAATATTAAGCCTTTCTCAAATGAGTGCAGACTATATTCATTAAACACAACTATCATCTAATGACCACAGAATTTATTTCTCTGATTTCTAGGTTTTTGAATTATATTATATATTTTGCACTCATAAAAAATCAGTCATACTGAATGACCTAATTCTGTCATTAATGTCTTTTTTTTTCAGTACTGGGGACTGAACCCTGGACATTTGCAGTGAACTACATTCCCAGCCCATTATGTACTTATTTATTTTTTGAGACAGGGTCTCTCACTAAGTCACTAAGTTGCCCAGGCTGGATTGAAATTTACAGTCCTCCTGCCTCAGCCTCCCAGAATGCTGGAATTGTAGGTATGCATCACCATACCTGACTAATTTGCTATTCAACCTTGAGCAAGTCGTATTTTTTCATCTATGTGAACACAGCACTTTGCCTAGTGCATTTTATTTAGGCTATCTGCACAGAACATCACTCATTCCCTCGCTTGGATAATGCTTTGTAATCACCTTGACTGCTACCGGCCAGGATCCAGCACCAGCCTGGGGACAAAAGCTGTGGAGCCAGTGGCCCAGGCATCATGGGCTTTAACTGTCCTACTGTTTTGCTCTGGTCTCAAACTATAATGTAGGTAGTAGGTATTAAGATTTGTCAAGGCCTTCTTTGGTCCCCCATCCTTTTATTTTTTCCCATTGAAGCAATAGCTTTTATTTCTTTATTTTTAAAGCTTAGCTTATTTCCTGGCTCTAGGGTTTTTTTTTCCCTCATTTCTTTCTTTAGGCTTTTTTTTTTTTGAGACAGGGTCTCACTGAGGTCCAGGCTGGACTTGAACTTGTGGTGAACCTGCCTAAGCCTCCCAAGGATTAGACATGCACCATCATGCCCAGCTGAGACAACTGCTTTTAAATTCTGATTTTTGACAAAGCAGTCTTTCCTAGGAATCCAGCATCACAGAACGAACCACACCATTTCTGCTGAAATCTGGAATTTTTTTTCTGAGACAAGGTATTGCTATATAGTGCAGGCTGGCCCTGAAACTTCACTTATATAGCCCAAATTGGCCTTTCATTCATGATGATCGTCCTGCCTCTGCCTTCTCAGTGCTGGGATTACAGGTATGTGCCACCATGCCCAGTGAAACTTGGAAATTCTCAATTCTCTTTCACATAGTGTGAGGGGTTGGGAATTTAAAGCACCCCCTGCCATCCTTCTTGACTGGCTGAGAAGCCAAAAAAAAGCTCCTGCTAATCCCACTGGCCCTGGGAACAGGATCCCAAGAAGTGCGCATTTGGGGAGCATAGAGGAGCCCAGGAGCCACAGCACCACTGTCCACTGCAGACGACATGCCCTGCCTCAACTGAAGGCTCAATGGCACTCAGGAACCAGGAGAGCTGTACAAACAGGGAGGTGACAACCACAACAAAAGTCACTGTAACCATTTTGTGTCTTCAAGTTAGTGCAGGCAAATTGCTTTCCTTCCAGACTTGATCCTGCTGCTGGGTTTTGAAGCACTGTCTCTTAGCCCCAGCCCCCACTCTTTACTCTTCTCTGCATTGAGGGCCTCAGACTGCAGGCTGTCAGCTGCCACTGTCCTAAGAAGAGGTGACAGTTATCTATAGTATACACACATACACAGAGGAGTTCCTGCTATACTTAAAGTGTCACTCAGTGATATTAGTAAAGAGAACAGGACAACTGTTAGTTGTTTTCCTTTTGCATTTTAATTATGTACATAAGTAGTGACATGAGATCAAGGTGTTCCAAGGCTCATACATTATCTCTAGGTGAAAGGATTTCACATTAGTCCGCTTGCAGTATGACATCGCCCAAGATAACAAAGAGGCCTAGTATATTTTTTCCTGAAGAAGAAAGCCAGTTTTCTACATTCAGTACTGCCTTCTCTGTCACTTTTTGGTAGAAATACTGATTTACTGTCTGTAGTTTCCAGTGTTTCCTATAACTGAAAGAAAGAAAAGAAAAACATAAGTAAGCAGTGAAAAGACTGAAAAAAACTCTTAAAAGCTTGCAGCTTGAAACTTTTAAAATTTTAAATAGAGAACTCATAAATATATACATTACCATTACATGACTATAAGGCTCATGAACCAGAAAAAATAGTAATTATTCCCATTTCATAGATGGTTAAATTAAAACTTATAAACTTGATGGTCCATCATTATGACATTCAGACTGTTAACTGGCTATATATCTGAGCAAAATGAAACAGAGATGGACCTATACATACTGACAAGGATGCACATACCAGTAGTATATTAAGTGAAAAAAGCAAATTTATCCATTTACTTAACAGAGCTAAACAAAGCACCACCTATGAAGTATTCTTACCAAAAAATGGAACCTAAATCTGATTAAGTCTTCAGGTCCAACTACCAATTTATGGGAAATACAGAGAAGAAAAACCAAAAGACAAATGGAGCAACATTAAATGAATGTATTCAGCTACAGGCGGAACATGGCAAATTCTAAAATACAAATTAGCCAGGCTTTTAAACAAATAAATGACAAGGGCAACAGAGACGTAGAGAGCTGGTGGTGTAGCTCAGTGGTGGAGCACTTTCTTAGAATGCGCGAGCCCTGGGTTCCATCCCCAGTTCCATCAAAAAACATACAAACAGAAATAGATAAATAAACAAAGGAGATTGGGAGACCTATCAGTCAAATGCAAGATGCAGAACTTGTTTGAATCCTGGTTCAAATAAACCAACTATGCAAAGTTATTAATGAGACAACCAGGAAATCTGTACATTGACTGGATATCAGATGCTGTCAAGGAAAGTGTGTTAATTTTTTTAGGTGTGATAATAAACTTATAATTATGTGCCTTCTAGGAGTTTTCCATGTACTTGCAGAATGATACGAAGTCTATGATCTCATTTTGTCAAAAAACCAAAAGCTTCCATTTATATATACACACACTAACAAGTCTGAAATGATATAGAAAACTATGAACAGATATTACCTCTGGGAAAGGAATAGAAGTAGGACAAGCTGTAAAAATACTAGCTGGGTTTGGTGGTGCACAACTGTAATCCCAGTGTTCTGGGAGGCTAAACCAGGATGACTGCAAGTTCAAACCCAGCCTGGGTGGCTTAGTGATTTAGGGATGCCTGTCTCAAAGTAAAAGCAATAAAAGGACTTGAGATGTAGTACAGTGCAAAGACCCTGGGGTCAAACCCCAGTATCAAAAAAGATGGAGCCAGGGGTATAGCTTATTTTTTTTTAATTTTTTTTTGTCTTTTTTTATCGGTACCGGGGATCGAACTCACGACTGCCTGCTTTCAAGGCAGGCGCTTATGCCACTGAGCTAAACCCCCAGCCCCAGGGGTATAGCTTATAAGTGGAGCATTTGCCTAGCATGTACAGAAGCCCTGGGTTCAATTCTCAGCACCACCCAAAAAAATCACCCAAGAACATCCTTTTTGTTTCACAACACACAGCAGGACCACTGCTGGATTTTATAAAGAAAAACTATGCCTTCAATAAAGATCTAGAAGACAAATCAAGAATTAGATCAAGCTTGTATATATAGTAAGCTGCACTCTGGCTCAGAATATCTCTGGAAACTGAAATGGATAATTATGAACTTTCTCTCCACTGGATCATCATCCAAGTAGAGAACTACAGTCACATTCAACATAAATCTGGAGAATGTGTGGCTCTCTGGCTACTCAGCTTGCAGTGTCCTTTCTAATCCTTTCTCACCTGCAGATTCTAGGGTGCACTTGGGCCTCTGCCTTGGGTTTGTCCACCAAGCTGTTTACATAGCACCATCAGCGAACTACTGACTTTGCCATTACTATAAATGTAACGGAGGAAGTAGTCTTGTTTTCCAGCAGGACCACTGCTTAGAAGTCACAAGGAGACAGATTTTTTGCTTAACTGAAGAAACAGTTTCCTAACTGTCCAAAGACAGCTGCCTTTGGGCTGTTATCACTCACAAAATGAGGATGTATACAGGGTGACGAGACTGTGCTGGAGGCAGGGGGCTGGGACAGCTGGGCCTCAAACTTTAAGCTAACATGGCTCTAAAAATAATAGCTGGGACAGCTACTGTGGGGAGGGGCCATTGGAGTGGGGAGATCACAAATTAGAGCCCACCCTGGGTAACTGAGCGAGACTCTGTCTCAAAATAAAAAATAAGGAGAACTGGAGGGTGTGATTCAGTGGTAGAGCACTTGCCTAGCATGTGCAAAGGCCCTGGATTTAACCCCTAGCACTGCAAAATAACAAAACCCTATTAAAAAGAAAACTCATATTAACTGGAGAAAATTTTCAAAATACAGAAAATTCTAAAGAAAAAAAATGTAAAAATCTTATTTATACCTGAAAGATGTATGCTTAAATTTTCTGTTATACTCTTTGGTCTAATAATGTGTCATACTATCTTTTTTTCTCCATTTAATAATTGCATACATGCTCCCATGCAATTAAATATCACTGAAACAGAATTATACTCCTCCTATGGATATACTATAATTAAACCATTTTCCTACAGTTGAATATCTAGATTTCAAATTCAATATAATCTTTAATTATCAGGAAATCACAAGATATAATACAATTTTAATATATACACAAAAAAATATTACCTAGTAGTTTTAGCAGGTGCTTTATAAGGAAATACTGACTAAATAAATTAAAACAGATAATAAATTTCAGTATAAGATCAAAAGAAATCTCACTGGTTTTCTGACTTTATCTAATATACTAAGTTTCTCTAGCTTCAGGTTAGTCATTAAAGAAGGAATAGAATAATTATGCCTAGTAATAATTAATGAAATTGCCTATGTCACTTAAGATAATATCGCTACATAATCTTGAGCTTCCCTGTAATAGTGCTGCACTCAAGAATTTATTTGAATGAGTATTAGCTGAATCCCAGTGTGCTTACGATAAAAAAATATAGTTTGAAAAAATATAATAAACCTGGGAAATAACAGCACTTTTCAATTGTTTAAAATAGATTTGTAGACAAATCCCAACTGTCTAGTTCCAGCTTGTCTAAAATCCCTAAGTAGCCTTTGGGAACAAACACAATTAAATAAGTCATGGCACTTAAGCCCAGAAATTAGAGATGGAATAAAAAGTTTCCACATCAAGGTGAAACAGCTGTAATTAATTAAATTAAATTAATTAAAGACAAGTAATTTTAGCTGGCATGAACAATGCTGAAAGTAACCAGAGTTTTCTTGTTCTTTACCTGATTAAAATGGGCCAAGCACGGAGTTTTCTACTTATTTCCAGGTGAACTCTTCACATTTCCTGGCTTATAAAACAAAAGCAACAGTTTTAATGCAGTTTGAAAAGAAATAGTGAAGCACCTCAAACTGTTTTCAGGATTGGCTTAAGACAAACAATAAATATTACTATTTCAGGGAAGGCGGGGTCCGTGCCATTGTAGTAAACAGCAAAGCTGGGGAGTCAAGGAAGACGATGAGATCCCAGATTCTTCACTGGGCTTGCAGTTGCAGTAAATGTTATTAAATATCACTGTAATGCAAAGTGACCCCATTCTCAGAAAGCTGAAAGAGTTACTAGAGCACCTTGAAGGCCCTGCTATGTGACTTGGCCTGAAAGCAGGAAATAAAGCTCCCTCAATCCTCATGGTGCAGGTTCAGCCAAACAGCTGATTCTATTGAAAATGTCATCAATTGTGGAAACATGTCTCATTTTTTGAAAGCAATTCACTACTCCATAGTGCTGTCATGGCTGAAGAGGGCTTCATATCTGTGCAAAGTTTCCTGTAAGTACTCGCTCTGCGCAGTACCCACCAGAGGGCCAATTCCCCAAACCTGCTTACTCCGAGACAGGTTTAAATTGGACCACACCCATGCTGCACCTGGCCAGCATCGGGAACATATAATTAGGTCATGCCTCCCTGAGAAGCACTGTAGGAAGTTTCTGGTGGGAAAACTTCATGTGCTACATGTTTAAGAGTTTGCTTTCTTTCCTGTAAGTTTCAAAGACTTTAATTCTGAAATCACGTTAATAAGGTCTGCTCCACAGCGAAGATTCAAGGTGGAGTGAGTTGGCAGGCTGCAGAGCATAAGGCTGTAGCTGGGCAGGTGATGGGGCTGTGCTTCTCCAGGGGTCCTCTCAGAGTTGCTCACCACCACCAGAAAGAGCAAAAGGTGACAAAGCAAAACATGTGACCTGGTCATTTTAAAGCCTGCTTTCTGGAGTTGTTGAAAACTGGTCTCTAGGAACTGCTTTCTACCCATGATCCAGCATAATTATAGAGTTCCCTCTTACTCTCAAGGGCACCCTAGTTTGGATGATAAATTATTTTGTTTGGTTTTCAGCATTTTGAGTGAAAGTCTCACTATGCAGTCCAGGCTGGCCTTGAATTCCCTGTATAGCCCAGGCTGACCTTGAACTCACAATGATCCTCCTGCCTCAGGCTCCCGTGTGCTAGATACAGGTATACATCACCATGCCTGGCTGGATGATAAATTATGTGGTTATCATATTTACGCACTGTATCCACTTGATGATGGAGTTCTGGGGACTGAGGCCACATGTATCATTCAGTGGGTCCACATACAATGCTCAGGCCCAAGACTTCACAGGACTCAGCATCTGGGCCCTGAGCCTCCTCCTCCAGAGCCACTTCCCATCCCTTCCCCCATGCGTATGCACATGTGAACACACACACAACACGTCCCACTGTCCCAGATGTGAGTAGGCATGGCTATTTCACCATTGTTTCTTCGGAAAACACTCTACAGTTGAGGGACGAGTCTGTAGTGGAACATTCCCACCTTGCAAGCTGCACACAAGAACCCTGCATACATCCTTAAATGGTTTAACCACTTGCCATGTCTTAAAGAACCTTTGACACTAACATTAGTCAACCTTCACACATTTATCAATTTTACTCAGGACTATTTCTAGGAATACCAAGGGTATTGGAGCCTGTAGAACAAAACATGGCATCAGTCTGTAGATAGCCCAGACTAGCCTCAGTCCTCTTGCCTCACATCTGTTGTAAACACATCTGACCATCCTCAGAACTGAGACAACAGAACCACCATGACCTGAAGAAAGCACTCCTGCGATGACATTTCCAAATCCCCTCCTCAAGTTAAAATCAAATACAGTATAAAAGTATCAGTCAGGTGTGGCTGGTGCCCACTTGTAATCTTAGCACTCAGGAGGCTGAGGCAGCAGGATCATCATGAATCCAAGGCCAACTTGGGTACTAGTGAGTTTAAGGTCAGCCTGCACTACAAAATGAGACCTCGTCTCAAACGAAATGAAATATAACAGAACACAAAAACACATCTCAGCCTTTCATCCTAAGGAGGCAGGAGAGTAAGGCATGGTCAGCTAGCTGGGTAAGTGGGCTGACCTGTCAATCACGGGGATGTGGGATGCATGCACATGTGCCAAACAGAAAATGCTATCTTCAATTCTTCTGGCACAAGCTCAACCAGGTTTTTGACAGGTCGGCCTAGCACTGACATCAGAAGGGGGGCGCTATAAAAGATGGCGGCCACTGCCTTCATAAGCTCCTTCGGTCAGGGTACCTCTTTTCCTATTTTTAATTGTCTTCCACTTGCTCACTCCACAGAGGACATTTCTTTCCCTATCTTTAATAACATTTCATAAATTTAAAACCTCACTATGTTTTCTGCATGTTTTGACCAATTCTTCATTCAGGACAAGAACCTAGAAAGAATCACTAGAAGGACCCCAGAGTACCCCAAAACCCTGCTAACTGACAGCAAGGTCTTCTCTTGGACTTGCCCCCTGCTGTCTTGTCAATAAACATAAATTGTCTATATTCCTGACTATTGGCAAATTGTTTCCACCATCCTTGGGCATCTGCTTACACATGCTTTTTTGCTGTTGCTCAAACTTATGAAGCCCCTTCCTAGGATGCGATTTTTGCAAAATGCACCCCTTCCACTACAGTGGGCAATCCTAACTGGCGAAATACGATGCATCCTTTAGATCAAGCCTTTCCTTTCCTCAGTTTAGGTTAAAACCTTTAATTCACTTGTATAGTACCCATGTCCTCCCTGAGTGTGTGTGTTTGTCTTTTTTAGATAGGGTCTCATTATGCAATTCAGGCTGGCCTTGAGCTTACTTTGTAGCCCAGCCTGGTCTCGAATTTACAATGATCCTTGTGCCTCAGCTTCACAAGTGCTAGGATCACAGGCATGTGACACCAAACCAAGCAGTATAATTTAAAAATCTTTCATTAATCTATAGGCTTCATGAGGATGCATGCCCTCCTAGCATACAGTGTTCAAATATTTGTTGAATCTTATTGGGATATGGTGGCACACACCTGTAATCCCAGCATTTGGGAAGCTGAGCCAAGAGGATCAGTGCAAGTTCGAGGCCAGCCTGGGCTATATAGTGAGTTCAAAACCAGCCTAACCTATATAGAGCCTGTCTCAAAAAAAAAAAGCATATGTATGTATAGACAGCTATAGAATAAAAAAACAGAATGGGGTAAGAACATAGAGATTTGATGAGTATAAAAAAATGTGTGTGTGTGACTTGTGAACAAGAAATTGTTTTAAAAAGGCTTATAAGCCATGGCTAACAACTGGGTCTGCTAGTGTGGTTTTCTCCCTAAATACATTTTAGGTCTCAATTAACATAATGCTTGCTAAGTACATCTGATGATATTTGTACATATTCTACTATCTATACTCGCCAATATCTCAACCTCTAAATTGTGTGGGGTTTTTTTTGTTTGTTTGTTTGTTTGGTTGGTTTCTTTTTTTTTTCTTTTTTTTTTTTTTTGGTACCGGGGATCGAACTCACGATCTCCTGCTTGCCAGGCAGGCACTTAGGGTGCTGAGCTAAATCCCTGGCCTATCTCTAAAATTAAAGTGCTGTATTTATAAGGCTTTTTCTCTTTTAGACAAGAAAATAAGCACACAAAACATTCTTTTGAATGAGGGAAACAGCTCTGTTGCTAGGGAAATGTTTCCATGTGGTTACGCCACTTGTAGTCTAACAAAACAGGTCAGAGAGAGAAGGAAGGGGGAGGAAACCGAGGAGAGGAGATGAAAACAGGAATTAAGATGTATTATGGGCGTGTACCAACTCCCCAAAAGCAATATAATCATTATGTACCACAAGCATGTATTAATAAAAACTTTTTAAAAGGTACAAAAATGACAAATACTTCACTAGAGAAGTATTGGTCCTATCCACCCTGTTACAAATTGTACATTTGGTAGCCAACAAGGGAAAGAATAACTTTTAAAGTTACATCTTTTCCTTTAAGAGACAAGTGGCTTCTCCAAATCTGAGGCCTAGGCTATAAACAGCCACAGCGACTTGAGCCAGAAGAATGGACAGAATAAGCAGATTCTGGCCCCAGGAGGTCCCAGTCCAGTTTCACTTCCAGAGGGAATGGAGGCGGGGCCTGTCTGGGAGGGGATGGGCTGGCCCGGAGTCTCACTGTGCTCCTGCCATTGTTCTTGCCCTAAAATACTCATGCACAGGGAACTGGAGAGCTGAGTGACCAGGTTTCTTCTCCTGCTCCCTGCTAACTTTGAACAAATCTTCCTTTTCACCAAACAAAACGGCCTCCTTCTATCTTGTTGACAGTGAGTGCATGGACCCAGGTAGCCAGCAGCGCTCTTGGCAGAGAGGGCTATACCTTTTGAGGAAACAGGATTCTCACAGTAAAAGGCAGCTCGGGGTAGCATGAGCTAGAGATCAATTCCTTTCAGCATTTTTAGACAGAAATAGTTTTGCTTCAAATATTTTCCAACTCAATCTCTTCCTTATAACTTAATTTTAATACCTACTGATTTTTACATGGATTTTCTTATATCTATGAACATGATTAGCAAGTTTTGTTGGCGAAACTGGAGACTTCTGCTTTTTTGTGGCACTGGCAATTGATCCCAGGCACTGATGCATGCTAGGCTAGTGTTGTAACACAGAATTACACCCCCCCCATCCTTTTGCTAAAATTTTATTTTGAAACGAGGTCTCATTCAGTTGCCCAGATTGACCTCAAACTCATGACCTTCCTGCCTCAGTCTCCCAAGTAGCTGGGATTCCCGGAAAGCACCAACACATTAGGCTTTTCTGAGACCTTTTTTTAAAAATGGAGACAATGACATCTAGTTAGTATGTGTTGCCATGTGAATACCGGACAAACCTCTGAAGTCCAGCATCCTACCAAAATGTCTGGGTGGTCCTGTGCCTACCAGTTGAATTATTTTCATGAACTGATGGACTCTCACAGAGTCTACATTTTCCTCACATGTAAAATGAGGATAATAATAG